GCCTTACTGGATTTTATAAGACTTACCTGATCAAAACACACTATTTATATCTAAATTTACAAATGTGTCCTTACCAGCACAGATCATGAAGGCTATGTTTTTCATAATGAAACCAAATGCTGATTTGCATATTAGTCCCTTAAACATATCAGCAACATACGTGGGAGGATAGACAACGACAAGGCATTATTAGTCTGAAAAGAATTATTCATTACTTTTTATCATTACTTTCATTTAAACCATGGGACCACATCTTGTGAAGAGATAGGAAAAACCTCTCACTTCTCATTTCTCAAGAAGCATGTTATGTTTCTTCAAAATTGGAAGTTCTTTTTGGTTACATACAGGTATTACATATCTACTGGGAGAATCACTGCTCTCTTGATAGAAACCACGAAGTGTATACAAGTTCATCAAGTTTCTCTTGCAGGAAAAATGCCTTATGTGGGAGAAAGATCTTTCAGTGAGGAAGATCCCTTCTGTGGGAGAGTTTCTCCAACAGGAAAAAATGTATGGATGCTTCCCCTCTGCTCAGCTTCTCCTGGGGACCAGAAGGAATTGAATTGTAGGGCAATGCTCCCTGTACCTTCCCTAGGTCAAGGTCACCCTGCTCTGCAGAAGCCATAGGGAACAATGACAGCTTGGTTCTTCCCAGTTCTGGAAGAAGTCAAGGAGCAGGGAAAAGCTCCTGTGTCTTCCACAGCATGGGGTACCAGATAAGGACTTTGCCTCACCACTCCCCTCCAAGTACAGTCTGGAAGGTGAGGGGAGTACCTGCTGCTGCTGCTGCTCCCTGCCTCTTCAAACCAGTCTCTGCCCAGTTTGGGGAAGAGGCTGAAAGAGCTTTGCTTTGCTGCCCACTTTGCTACCCACTCACTGCAGAGACTGGGAACAGAGCACAGGAGGCTGATCTGCAAACCGTCGTCTGGGCAAGGTATAAAGAGTCTCTCCTCGCTGCTCCACTTTCCCTGGGGACCCAGAAGAGTGGAGCAGCCACTGTTCCTCATGCCTTCCTCAGACTGGGATTGCCCTGGTCTGGCAAACAAGCATCATGGCTGGGACTTATCTTTTTCAAACCATTTCAACAATGCATTGGTGAGATACTGAAAGACAGAGACTGTCCTAGATACTTGAATTATAGGAAACTAGATGTATGTTTATGTTGCAGGTGCCCACCCAAACTCCAACAAGATATGAAATAATTGTTAGTTTCACTTGAACCTTTGCATTTTTATCTGAAATAACAAAAAAAGCTCTTTGAAGCATGTTAAAAGAGTTGATATCATCAAGAACAAACCTACCCACCCTAAAGATCAAAGATTGCATTCAACAAAATTCCATATCGTATCTACATTCTGCATTTGTTGCCATTTAGACTGAGATAACTTGCATCTTTTTCAAGGTATTTCATTATAACCACTAAAAAAGGTCCTCATTTTTCAAAAGTTTTATTGGTAAGTTTGAAGACTAGACAAGGTCATACTGGTTTTACATCATTCTACATGATTTAAGTATATACAAAAACATTTGAATATTACACAGCTTGAAAGGTTGCAAAGGTCATTGTGTCTGAGATACTTCTGTACTTACTGACACATCAGAAGCCAGCACTGAATATTATATTTCATAGTTGTTGTATAGCAAAGATACACTCATTAGTATCCTTAGTCTTCAAAACTCACACTAATTTGTATGCAGTCATTCCGAAAGAGAAAGTCAACCTAAAAATCAGAACCAGTTAATGTGATAAGCCCTTAATAGAATATAGCTAAAACTAAGCCTTGTGCCTTTGTTTTATTTCTTAGGCTATAAAAGTAGCACATTATAGAGCCATAGAAAGGTGAAGTCTGCCTACAAATATTTAACTGGTTCAGGGTGAAATTTAATTAGGAGAACATTGTCACTCCATTTCAATGTCATTGTTACAATTAATACAAAAGTTAAAGATTATTTCAGAATGTTTTCCCAACCTTTCTTAAAAGGGACATATTCTACACTTTCTGTGTGTGTGGAATTCCTGTTGCTTTTAATGGATGGACTTGTTTAGAATACGCCTAAGGACAATGAGTTTAATGCTTACAAAGGGGTAAAAAAAAAAGAGGAACAATGATGGTGATGGGTCGAAGCAAGCTCTCAGCTGCTATCTTAAATCTGAAGTAATTCCATGGAATTCAATGGATTTATTTTAGATTTATATGGCTGCCACTTGGAGCAGAATTTGGCACTACAGTTACACAATTCAGTTTAAAGAAAGTGATCTGGCAACTAAACACTGAATGATGTCACTAGAAAAATCCCCAGTGAATCTTTTGAAAATGTAAAGGCATCATATAGTATCACAGGGCATTATAACAATACTGCATTTGGAACTTTCTCTTCAGGCTCTGAAGAATGAACTGATGAAGACTGACAAAAATGAACAGATAGAAATATTTAACTTTGTAAAATATAGATGAGAAAATTATGATAGCCCATTGCATAATGATGCTATTTTTTACGTGCAAATGAACATGAAAAATTATCAGTAAGCCAGGACTCAGAATTTTAAAAAGTATTAAATTAAAGTACCAGTAAACAGAAACAATTACTCATGAACATATAAACTAAATTAGAAAAACAACATTAAAGCAAATTGCTGACCTAGAGGGCCTAATTTTCTGAAGCGGCCTCCGATTTTGTGAGCACAGGCAGCTTGTGGTGGTGTCTGCGTGCTTTTTATTTAATACCTGCAGTGAAATGCAGGGGATTTTTTTTTTCACAAAATAGGAAGCTGGATTTAGACCCTTTTACATATCACCTACAGGAAAAATCCAAACATTACTACTCAACTTTCTTTCTGTGAAGAGCCTAAGGTGCAAAACATGGGCAGTGTGTAATTTAAGGAATACATCAGTTCCCCTTTACTCCAATAGTTTTTCCTCTTTAAAAATGCCATTATGATTGACTTTCTCTTTAAAATTGTTCACTACGATTGAAGACCACTTCATATATACATTGTTAAGGAATGCTGTTAACACAGTTACAGACAAGACATTAACAGTCTAGTGGCTTTTGTTATGCAGCACAAATAAAAAAAAAAAGAAAGACAAAATAACTTAGCAGTGTTGCACAGGACCTCAACATTTCTTACACATACTTTCTTTTACCTTTATAGACTCTTAATTAAAAGTCTTTGAAAATCCATGTCTAAGCCTTATAAAATAAATACTTGTATAAATATAGCTTAAGGGTTAAATCATTTTATAGTGGCAGGGGTTTTTCTTGTTTTGTTCTTCTTTACTAGTTCAAGTAATTTGAGATTAACCCTAGAGAAGACCTCTAGTAATCAATAACAAACCGTTTTGAAAATTTCCAGTCACTATTTTCAGGTCTTTTAAAGCAAAATGGATATTTTCTCTATGTGGATAATGTGAGATCATACACATTTTGAAATTCAAACATTTTAAAAAATAAGCTTTTGCTTTGTAGATTAGAGGCAACTTATTTATCTGGGAAGCAGGGCTCAGGTTCAGAATGCAATGCTTGAGAGTCAAGGAGAATGTAATGGTGACAAACACAGTGGAACATGGAATACTACATATCTACATCAGCATGTTATGAAATTAAACTACGACTAATAATCTGATATTTCAGATAACATTATTTTAAATAAATAGAAGGGTCCCTACCTTTTATCCCCACAATTTGAGAAGAAGGCAGTAAAACAACAATCTCTCATATAGAACTTTTTGTTTGTGAAACTCAAAATACTTTAAAAAAGTGGATACCATTATTCCCTATTTGACAAATAGAGAAACTGAGGCACTGAGGTAAAGTAACCTGCCCAAGGGCACAAAACAAGTAAGTAACAGAGGTGGGAATGGAGGAGGATCTCCCAATTCCCAGTTTTATGCCCTATCCACTAAAATTACACTACCTCACACTGCAAAAGAGATGTGTCATTGGAAAACTGATAATACTAATGTAGAAGCCGTAACTCCCATGTCACAGGACTACTTCCAGCTACATCCTACATCCTAGGGAGGATGTTGCTCCTAACATCCACCACTCTGTGTTCATGTAGCTCTCTGGTATCAGTGAATCCATGCCCTATATGTCTGACACATTCCAGTTCCTCCCAAGCTGAACAGTTTCCCCTCATGTAGTTTCTCTTAATTTTGTTCCTCCACACAGCAGGGATGAAGCTATTAATCACTTGTGCCCTTATATTCCTGCCTCACAATTGATACAATCTGGTTTGTATGTTGTTAAAACAAGGTAGTGTGTTTGGAGGGGCTAAAAAGGAAGTTATTCTGTTAATAGTCTACAAGTCAAGAAACAGGGCCAAATTCAAGCCTCATATTGCTCAATAGATATGTACCTAAAAAGTTATAATCAAGGCAGGATCTTAAGATGCTTGCATTTGCACACTTTGGCTCCTGTTGAGTTCACCTTCTGTAGGAACTTTATGGCCTGCAACACAGACGGGGCCTACTGGGATGTATGTGTCTGGGTTTGGAGTGTGTAATTTATATGCTTTAGCACCTACTATCTGACCCCACATGCACCTTCCCTCTTGGAGACTATGAAGGCATCAGGCAAAAGTAATCTTGTGGGCAGGTCTGTGAGGACTGTATGTCCATTTCTGGGCAAGGCCGAATATGTGGTCATATTAATGCTGTTTTTGCAGCATAAATATGTGCCTGTATCCACTCAAAAAGAATTTAGGTCAAACTGGATTTACAGTATGTATGATCAGACTCTGTGACAAATATAGTTGCAAACCAAATTCATACAGTTTGATTTGACACACTCATTAACTTCATAATATACTGATAGCAGATTTTGTTCCATATACAAATAGGACACCTCTTTTAGAGAAGACTTTGTTAACAATGAGATTAAATATAGAAAAGAGAGGCTATGGCCATCACATGCATAACAAAGTAAGAACAAAGTAAAACTGGGTGGAAGTGATTCTTATTTGCAAGAACTCTGCAGTTTAAATAAATATAATGAAAGATGATGTGTAATATCACAAGTGCTTTGCACCACAGAGTATCTTCAAAATGTGTGTCAGAAATATTGACAGTGTTTGATAGGCACAAGGGAAACAATATAACGCAGTCATCCCAGAGAAAACTTATTGCTAAAAGCTGCAGTATCACTTTTTACAAGTAAGATGAGTGTGATTTGCAAAGTGTGTGTCAGCCCAATTTTTCTAAAGCTGCAAATGAGCTTTGTCATGCTGATTCTCCTTCCTTGTAAAAAGGATGCTGCTGTTCTTTCCTAACACATTTCAACCAGCGTGAACAACTTAGAAGAAAACTAGAAAGGTAATTCCACAGCGAGAGGGACAATACTGTAACGGATTTAAAGGACAAAATTGGATTGGATCATTTAAAGGGCAGGCTTAGACCTCCTTACAAAAGACAGTTAGCGGCCTACCATAAAGTGAGCACTTGTTCATGAAAAAACCCATTCAACTTCATACAGGTTTTGCACAGTTTCTTCTACGGAGATACTTTTAAGAATATAGAGGTGTGTTTTTAGCGAAGATCCTTTTCAGTTCTCTTCTGTGCAGCCCAACAGCTCTGACCGTAAAGTGATCCTACCATACCATGACCAAGGGAGAATCCTTATGTGCCGTGCATAGATTGGAGGGTCAATCACATTCTTTCTGTGTGTGTCATTGTCAAAATTTCCCTGGAAAACCTGGAAGGTAAGAAATAAAAAATCCCATCAGTGAGGCTCCATATAGGTGATGAGTTCTCCTAAGTTTTTCTTCAGGATCAGAGCTTTGGTCAATGCTTTACCTTTTGACTTGCATCTTCCATAGGTAAAAAATTTGAATATTCCATCACCTCTGACAAGGTCTTACAAGAGCTCATTCAAAATATCTTGACATTTCAACAAATATTTTGCATAAACTTTAAAAAGGCTTTGTAATGAAATATTAGAATTTTTTAAATTTAATTCCCTTTATCACAGTTAGCTTTGTTTAGTGTTTCAATGGGGAGCAAGCCTATGGGCTACTGCCTTTCTGAGCTAAAACTCCAAAGCTTTGAAATTTTTTTGACGCAGTACAAAACCAGTTGATCTATTTGCTTCATTTCTATAGCATGTTACACTGCCATGAATGAAACTGAATTCAGAAGCAATTTTGCTGTCCCAAATCCTATCTGATTTATCTAATCAATACTGCACTCAGCTTACAAATGGTCTCCTATGGTAAATATATCAACCCCTTAGTGTTGTTGTCCCTGTAGTCTCTCTATAATTTAAACTGCCTTAAGTACATGTGCACATGTACTATGCCTATCTCTGAAATATGTAGGTGCCAGTATATAAGACAAATTTATCATTCATGAAAGGGCATTACGCATGGAGGAGACAAATTTATTGTTCAATGTGCCATATTGATAGTATTGGAGACAGACATCTTATATTCAACAAGAATATACAACAAGAAGAGAAGAAGAAAACATGATCTTGCATTGCTTTGTAAACAGGGCAGAGTAGATAGTTTATTATGTCTTCCAGGAAAACTGTCACTCACCACCAGTTACCAATGGGTATCTGTCCACTTGTAACTGGACTAAAACCATCATTTCATTTCTCACTAGCCACCAAACCATAAAATACTGCTTTTCTATAAGTAAATACAAATGAAAAGTAAATTGGTGAAGACTGAAAGGAGAAAAAGAACTTCCAATCTTTTGAAAACACACTTTTAGAATTGTTTTACTATGCTGCCGTCAAAAGTGATGACTCCTTCCCTCCTCACCGAGCTACACAGTTATCCATGCTGTAGCTTGCTTGGTTTTCTTTTCCATTTTTTTCACCCTTCCCTGCCCAGTGGGCCAACTTTAATTGGACAGATGGAAAATGTCACCAGCTACACTATTCTATAGTCCGGTGGTTAAGTCACTGACAGGAGTATTGCTACAGGAGCCTTTCTCGTGGTGGTTCCACCCTCCTGTTATGGGCCAACTGCCTGCTTACTCGCCTGCCATGCCTTGATCTTGATTGATTGATTGATTGATTGTAATTAGCGGAAGGCTGCCCACTTGATGTGCCCCGGTGCCAGGGGGCGCTGTCTGCGGCTCCTTTTCCTCCCCTACACCACAGCCCAAGCCTCGCAGATGGTACTAACATGGTATTCGATCTGGGCCCTGCTGTGATTTGGCCCTGTCCTTGCCTTCTCTCAGGGGCTTCTCACTGCCCCCCTTGCTCTGGGGCTTCTCGCTGCCCCCCTTGCTCTGGGGCTGGGGTTAATGCACTCCAAATGCTGTGCCCTCTCTGGCACCAGGGTCCCCACGCTACCATGGAGTCCCTATGAGGCCTTCTCCAACCCCTAATAGCCTCACCCGGTCCTCCAGTCAAACAGCGAACACAAAAACACAAAGCCCCCAGGCTATAACTTAAAAAGCTAAACCGTCTGGCCAGAACAAACATTCAAGCCCTACCGGGAAATACTCCAACCCATAGCAGCAATCAGGGGATGCTCATGGATTCGGGCTTCTCCCCTCTGTCTGCACTGGCTGAGCTCCTCCTCCCTTGGTCACCAGAGGGGAACTGCCCTCCTGGCCTCACGCCTGGGCTTAAGAAGGGCCAAGCCCTGTCCCTTCCTGTCAGCTGGCTCCACCGGTTGCCCTAGCAACCAGCACCTGTGACTCTGGCTGCCCTGGTGACTGGCAGCTGAGCCTCCCTCTTCTTGCCACTAGGGGCCTCTCCCAAGCCGTTTCTGCTCTCTGGCGCAGGGCACCTGAGTGCTCTGTGACAGTCACTCTCCTAAGAAATGGAAGATGTAAGTTTAAATCCCCTTTACACTGAAGATAATCTAGAACAGAGGTGTTCCACTTCCTGAATGACTGGTGAAATCACCAAGGTTATTATGGAAATGTAAGTGCTGCCACTGCATTTGTGAGTGACAGTGGCCATGGGTCCTGTAGGATCTGAATTGTTCTTCTTGACTGAGGTATGTATATTGTACTTCAGTACCATTTATATATCTAGCTGGTTAGCTGATGGATCAGGCTGCTTAGTCTTTTGTGGATATAACCCCCAAACTCAAATCCTCCTGCAGCACGGTGCTCTGGAATAAAATCCTGATTCTACTAAAGTGAATCATAACACTCCCACTGACTTCATTGTTGCTAAGAAGTCAACCTTGAAGTGCAAAACTGAATATCCATTGATGTTTCAAGTTTATTAATATAGTTTAAAAGTATGAGAATGGGAAAAATGGTGGAATTCAGAATAGGATTTTCAAGAGTCTACTGCAGGAGTAGGCAATTATTGTGGGTGGAAGGCCGCTTACTGAGTTTTGGCAAGCTGTCAAGGGCCACATGGGTAGCTCTGCCCCTTGAGAGGTGCCCCATCCCCTGGTCACCATCTTGTGACCAGAAGTCCCACCCCCTAACCCCTG